AAATTAATAATAATAATTAATGATAAATAATAAATAATATGAAATGAGCATAAAGATAAATGTAAAATATAATATTAATATCAAATGATTAATTATAAGTAATCAATAACACTTCTATATAATCTTACTGTGCAAGTGATATTGTATGTGCACCTCACTTGTACAGCCCAAAGTTCTAAATGGAGCTATGTATTTATTGTCCTTAGCTAGACACAATGCAAATGTCCCAATTTCGATCTTTGTATATTGTAAACAATATATATATTGCTGTTAAGATGGACTATAATATTACTGTCCTTCCACTGGGTGGCCTCCCAGATACTTCTGAGCTGTAAGGGCTAGGTGGATGGATGCGGATATTCCCCTCGTCCTAGGGAGGTCAATCTCCTATCTCCTCTTCTCCCCTTTTGCTCCTCATAGAAAGCATGTTCCCGCAGTGATGGGGTGTCTGGAGGACTAGGGTTATATGTTGAAAATCGTTTGTTCACAGTGGGGGCTTTATTTACTGTGCTGGCTGCAGAAGGTTGGTCATCTTTATCAAATGGACAGGGCCCCTCACAGTTCACTACAAGCTCTCGGCCACGGTGGAAGATGGGACTTGTAGTTCATTCATTCACGGAACTCTGAATGAACGTTGCACTTTATTATTATTTAATACTATATAAACTCATCCTTTTGTATCCAGATGCATTGTTTGTATCCGTAACAATCCAAAACATACCAAATAAGTCTAAGCATGAGCATCTACAATACCCTACCACTCCTTTCACACACCTTCAAGTTGATTTCACACACATGCCAAAGACAGGAAAGAAGCAAGAATATCTTTTGGTAATTTTAGATGCGTTTTCTAGGTGGGTAGAAGCTTTCAAGACTACAAGGGAAGATGCCCAGACAGTTGTTCGTATCCTCACACAGGAAATTATTCCTAGATGGGGGTGCCCTCTACAGATCAATTCAGGCAATGGTCCTGCTATCACCTCAAACGTTTGTCAGGGACTAGTGAGAGCCCTAAAAATCGACTGGAAATTTCACATTCCCTATCACCCACAGAGTTCAGGGATTGTAGAAAGAATGAACAGGACTGTAAAGGATAAACTGAGGAAAGCAACTGGGGGTACTTTTGTCGGCTGGACAAAGCTACTTCCAATTGTATTAGCAGAAATCAGGATGACACCAAATAAAGTGACGGGATATTCTCCATTTGAAGTATTGATGGGAAGACCATTCCCCACCCCATGGGCTAGAATACCACTATTGTTAGAATCAGGAGATCTAGAGCAGATCAGGGAAGAGTATGTCCGTAAATTGATTGAAACTTTGGATATGGTTGAAAGAAATGTTGCTCGCACTTCTCCTTTCTCTTCACAGGTCCCTACACATCCTTTCCAGGTTGGTGATATCGTAGTGGTCAAGCAGCTAGCCCAGAACAAGAAGGCCGGATATCCATTCGGACCAGAGACCAGAGTGATCGCAGTGACTAGGACCGCTGTCCTAGTAGAAGGTCAGCAAGCCTGGATCCATGCCAGTCGGGTGAAAAGAGTTAAAGTGGCCAAAGGCAAAGAAACAGGCACAGGGGAGGACCAGGACAAGGTGCTCCCTATTAAAGGAGGTGAAGCAGGTGATATAAATCCTCGTATAGTGAGTGAAGTCGGTAACAAAGTCTCTGAAAATAATCAAGATGAGCATTCTATTAGCCAAGGACTCTGGCAAACTATGGATTCTGCTGGGACTGATTACATTTTTAGTATTTACCCCAATATGGATAGTGACTAACTGCATATACTCCCCAGAAGACCTGGGCGCTGTTCAGGTCATATGTGGCTACAAGGAGAACCAGAATATCTCAGCAAATACACACATAATTTACAACAACAGTAATAATACTTCAGAAAACGTTCACCCAATACACATTAGGACCAAAAGAGAAACCAATATACCAGCACAGAAACCACAGGTTGCTATTACCAAAGAGGGAAAGTTTACTACATTGTGGATCGACTCTTCTAACACCCATGTTGCTACCTTTTCCTTCACCTATGAAGACCTCACAGAAAAAGGGGATGAAGAGAGTAGCAGGAAAAGGGCGCACAAGAGGGAGGGAATAGGTTACATCTGTGTAACTGATGATTATTGGGGGAGTAACTGTGATTATTGGGGAGCAGTGGGATGGAACATAGGAGTTGACTGGGGATACAAACCTGACACGGCCATAAATAAAAAGGACAAGAACGGAAAATCCCTCATAAACAGAATGACTCTCACGAAGCCCAATGCGAAATATACACTTACCATAGAAAATCCCAGCCCTAGTGATTCGGGAATGTATGTATTTGGATTATACTGGGGAGGGGGTATATCGGGCACAAGGGGGCAATTTAAGATACAAGACATGTATAACAACGATTACAATCCCCTGAGGCCACACTTCAGTACTTTGAGGGATATGATTGCCATCGCTGATCCTTCTTTCGAAGATACCGTGGCAGCGGAAACGGGATTTTCAGATGTAAATCTTTAGTTAGAATGGATGAGGTACAGTGCCCTGCAGTACAACAAGTCTAACTGTTATGTCTGTGGAGCAGCCAGGCCACATGTGGGAACAGTGCCACTAAATCTTCCTGAAGATGTTGAAGAATGTTTCCTAAGTCTTTTTACAGGAACACATGACAAAAATGTTTCCTGTGAAACCTGGAAAGCAAAGTATCCCATAGTCACCAAAACCCCCAAACCAGGTGAAGGCTTAAAAATGTACCCAGGGAATTATACCTGTTATAGAGGAGTGGCAACAAAGAGAAGTTTGGGAAATTTTACAAAAGGTTTTTGTCACACATACAGCAACATTTCATCTAAGCTTTTACAGAATCAGACAATCTTTAGGTGATATCTACTGGATTTGTGGTGATGGTAAGATCAGGTCTAGATTGGAGAAGGAGTGGTTTGGTGAGTGTGCTTTGGCCAAAGCTATTATGCCCCTGCATATCTTTAGTGAAATTCCTTCTGAGATCCCTGGAGATATTGCAGGAGGCACCCAGAGGCACAGGAGGGAGGCCCCGATGGGTAGTTTTGACCCACATGTTTATATAGACGCCATAGGGGTTCCAAGAGGGGTCCCAAATGAGTTTAAAGCCAGGGACCAGGTTAACCGTTTCAATACCGTGCAATTTTACACCTTCCTGCCCAGGCCATTTTTCAGGTTTCAGCGCTCTCACACTTTGAATGACAATTGCGCGGTCATACAACACTGTACCCAAACTAAAATTTTATAATTTTCTTCACACAACTAGAGCTTTCTTTTGGTGGTATTTAATCACAGCTGGGGTTTTTATTTTTTGCTAAATTAACAAAAAAAGACCAAAAATTTTGAAAAAAAAAAACACATTTTTCTTTGTTTCTGTTATAAAAGTTTACAAATAAATAATTGTTCTTCATAAATTTAGGCCGAGATGTATTCTGCTACATGTCTTTGGTGAAAATAACCCAAATTAGGATGTATTTTTTAGTTTGTAGGAAAGTTATAGAGTTCACAAACTATGGTATCTGATCAATCCTGAATATTGCCATCTAATCCAAGAATGTCAGAACAGTACAGATACCCCCAAATGGACAGTACAATCCCCCAAATGTCAGAACAGTACAGATATCCCCCAAATTCAGGACAGTACAGAAAATGTCAGACAGTACAGATATCCCCCAAATGACCCCTTTTTGCAGAGTAGACAGTCCGACGTACTTCATAAGAGGCATGGCGAGTTTTTTGAAGTTGTATTTTTTTGTCATAATTTTTCGGAAAATTAAAAAATTAAAAAAATTATTTTCACTATTTTTTTTTTTTACATACTGTCACCAGTGCAGTACAGCGTCATCATATAACTGGCATGGCGGTGAACAGCGACACTGACTGGTGACAGTATGAAAAAAAAAAAATATATTTTTTAAATTTTTTTAAATTTTTTTATTATATTTAATTTTTTATTACATTTTTTTTTTTTTTTTTTTAAGATTTTTTTTTCATATTTTACTATGACCAAAATAGTACAATGTTACCATAGTAACACTGTACTACTTTGGGGAAGTGATCAGTATTTTTTTTTTTTTTACACAATTTGCTTATAGCAAAGAATTACTTTGCTATAAACAAGCATTTACCTGAATGAAATCGATTCATTCAGTTTTTTTTTTTTTTTTTTTTTTTTTTGTGCTTAGCTGTGATTTGGTCACAGCTAATCACATGACATGTGCATGTGATTAGCTGTGACCATTCACAGCTAGGCACTAGTATACAATGGATGGCATCATGAATGAAGCCATCCATTGTATACAACTGTCATGTGACCTGCTGTGATTGGTCACAGCAGGTCACATGGTACCGGCAACGGGAGCCGGTACTCGGATCTGTCATCGGCCGTGTCCGAGGTGCACGGGCGGTGACAGATCGCACTGCTGCGTCGCTCTGCAACCGCGCAAACCACGCATGTGCGGGAGCACGCCAAATGGCGTGCACCCGGAATACAGGAGCACATTTCAAGCCGCCAAACGGCCATTGGCCGGGCGGCTAATGGTTAAAGCAGGTTTTGAGTCAATCATTCCAATCATCACCATCACCAAATACCACCAAAAGAAAACTCTATTTATGATATACAAAATTATATAAATTTAATTTGTGTACAGTGTTGCATGACCAATCAAATACCAGTTAAAGTAGCACAGTGCCAAATAGAAAAAAATGGCCTGGTCATGAAGGAGTTAAAACCTTTTGGAGCTGAAGTGGTTAAATGTGGTGTGTGATTTGTTTTTTTTTTTTGGCTTCTCTTTTGGCAGTGAAGCTTTTGCACAAACATTTTGGGTGAGTTTGTGCAACATGTACAGTAGGTTTGTATGTCAGTATGTGTGATTGTGTGTTTTTTCTGCTGTGTGCGTGTCCCCATTACTTTAGCTGTCCATTGTGTATGGGTATCTGGCCCAGTGCTTGTATATGTATGTGCAGTTTGAGATATGATGTACTTACAAAGTAAATACCGTATTTTTCGCTCCATAAGACGCACCTAGGTTTTAGAGGTGAAAAACAAGAAAAAAAAATATTCTGAAACCAATGGACTGCAGACACAGTACAGGGGATGACCAGAGACTGCGGACACAGTGCAGGAGATGACCAGAGACTGCAGACACAGTACAGGAGATGACCAGAGACTGCGGACATAGTACAGGAGATGACCAGAGACTGCGGACACAGTACAGGAGATGACCAGAGACTGCAGACATAGTACAGGAGATGACCAGAGACTGCAGACAAAGTACAGGGGATGACCAGAGACTGCGGACATAGTGCAGGAGATGACCAGAGACTGCGGACACAGTGCAGGAGATGACCAGAGACTGCGGACACAGTGCAGGGGATGACCAGAGACTGCAGACAGTGCAGGGAATGACCAGAGACTGTGGACAGCGCAGGGATGACCAGAGACTGCGGACAGTGCAGGGGATGACCAGAGACTGCAGACAGTGCAGGGAATGACCAGAGACTGCGGACAGTACAGGGGATGACCAGAGACTGCGGACAGTGCAGGGGATGACCAGAGACTGCGGACAGTGCAGGGGATGACCATAGACTGCGGACAGTGCAGGGGATGACCAGAGACTGCGGACAGTGCAGGGAATGACCAGAGACTGTGGACAGCGCAGGGATGACCAGAGACTGCGGACAGTGCAGGGGATGACCAGAGACTGCAGACAGTGCAGGGGATGACCAGAGACTGCGGACAGCGCAGGGGACCACAGACTGCAGACAGTGCAGGGGATGACCAGAGACTGCGGACAGTACAGGGAATGACCAGAGACTGCGGACACAGTACAGGGAATGACCAGAGACTGTGGACAGTGCAGGGAATGACCAGAGACTGCAGACAGTGAAGGGGATGACCAGAGACTGCTGACCTTTGGGGAGGGAGGGGGAGCAGGTACCTGAATTTGACAGGTACCCGCTCCCACTTCCTCGGAGCTGCCTTCCCTCTTCTTCCCGGGCCGGCTTCTGTGACAGCCGGGTGCCCACTGCGCATGTGCGAGAAGCGCTTCGCTTTGTGAATGGCCTGGAGCCTTCTGGGACCTTTCATGTGTCCCAGAAGACACCGGATCATTCACAAAGCACAGCACATGCGCAGTGGGCACCCGGCTGTCACAGAAGCCAGCGCGGGAAGACTGTGCAGCGCTGGAGCGAGGAACAGGTAAGGCCCTGCAGGAGACAACAGCTGAGCGGCCGGCCCCCATTCTGACATGGTGGCCGCAAAAATACCGGACCGGCCGCTTTATATTCGCTCCATAAGACGCACTGACATTTTCCCCCCTTTTTTGGGGGGAAAAAAGTGCGTCTTATGGGGTGCGAAAAATACGGTAGTTTAAAAGTGTTTAGCCACTTTCTATCTGGGGCAATTTAACATTTTTTCACACATGGTAAAATTGGCATTTTCTCACTAGAAAATTACCTAGACACTCCAAACATTATATATTTTGTGAAAGCAAAGGGCCCTGGAGAAAAACACGGTGGCAGTTGCAATTTTTTATGTTGCACGATATTTGTGCGGCTATTTATAAACCCGTTTTCAGGAAAAAAAACATGAATTGCAATGCACACCACCAACATGTAATATCCAATTTTATTGTAAAATATAAAATATTTGGTTTACATCAAATAAAAAGGAATCAAACATATCAAGACTCAAATTTCCATGTGCCCGTGAAATGGTCAAATACTACAGTACTGAATATTTTTCATAAGTAATCCTTTAAAAGCCTCTACAGGGTATTATTTTACCCATGGATAACAATCCTAGAATTATTGATCTCACTTCAAGGTTTGCAGCGATACCTCACATGTATGTGGCAATCACTGTTCACAAACACATGCAGAATCTATAAACACAGGGGGACAGGGGTGCTTTTAAATCTTTATTTTTTTTATTTTATTGTAAACAAAGGATTTCGAAGCAACACTTACCAAATTGGTTGTTTTGCAGGCTGGTTGGTAAGTGTTTTCTGGGAAATCCTTTGTTTGTTTGTGATGCACATTTCCGGTCCATGTGCACCATACCTCTAAGGTGGGTTATAGGTTGGGACAGTAGCCATTTGTTGTTGTTTTTATTAAGGGGTTAACAACTTGGATGGGGTCTAGGGGCATATGGGATGCCCAAGGAACTGCAAAACTCAAGGACAATTTTCTTAGCAACCTATTCACTGTACAAAAGGATGTGTCCAAAAATTGCAACTGTCTTTTTAAGGAGCACTGAAGTCCCCTTGGCAGGGGCGGACTGACCATTTGGAAACTTGGGCAGTGCCCGAGAGCCCGGGGTCAGTAGGGGGCCCCATGAGATGCCCCTTGTACCTTTTTCATAGGCTTTTTTGAGTTTGGGCAAGGACACAGGGGCCCCATGATCCCCTATTGCCCGTGGACCCCGTGAGTTGTCAGTCTGCCCCTGCCCCTTGGTGTACCACCTCAGACCCCAGATGAATCCTCCTTTTCACCCAGCTGCACTGAGGGTATCCCTGGGCAAGGGATTCCAAGTGCTAGCAATAAAGCAGTCCTAGATGAGAACCAGTTGGGTCTTGCGCCTGACCGCCCTTTCCCTTTATCTGGTCCAGGAGGTGTAGAAGTACTCATACTGCCCTGTCCTGTTAGCCTGATGGGTTAAAGCTCCTTTCAGGCCTTCCACTGGGCTGGCTCCTTTCCAGCTGACAGGTTGTCCTGCCTGGGAGACGGTGGAACAATGGAAATCCTTCAGTCCAGCAACCAGCTTGTAGGTAGGCTCCCCTCCCTGGGGCCCCCCTCGCAGGCTCCACACTCCAGCCTTCCTTTCAGTTCACACTAACCCTGCTGGTCAGGCTCTGCCACATTTAAGGGTAGTCCTTGATCACCATGCCCAGCCTCCTGCCAGGAGATTGGCCAAGTTCTCCCCTCCTCCTCCTCCCTTCTTCCAAAAGTTCTCAGAGTTTCAGAGCAGATATAGTGAATGCGGGGTCCAGGGAGCCCGGATATAGCAATTGTAGGGTCCTGGGAGAGCGGATATAGTGAATGCAGGGTCCAGGGATATAGTGAATGCGGGTCCGGGGAGACTGGATATAGTGAATACGGGGTCCGGGGAGAGCGGATATAGTGAATGCGGGGCCCGGGGAGAGCGGATATAGTGAATGCGGGGTCCGAGGAGAGCGGATATAGTGAATGCAGGGTCCGGGGAGAGCGGATATAGTGAATGCAGGGTCCGGGGAGAGCAGATATAGTGAATGCAGGGTCCAGGGAGACCGGATATAGTGAATGCAGGGTCCAGGGAGAGCCGATATAGTGAATGCAGGGTCCAGGGAGACCAGATATAGTGAATGCAGGGTCCAGGGATATAGTGAATGCGGGGTCCGGGGAGACTGGATATAGTGAATACGGGGTCCGGGGAGACCGGATATAGTGAATGCGGGGTCCGGGGAGAGCGGATATAGTGAATGCGGGGTCCGGGGAGAGCGGATATAGTGAATGCAGGGTCCGGGGAGAGCAGATATAGTGAATGCAGGGTCCAGGGAGACCGGATATAGTGAATGCAGGGTCCAGGGAGAGCCGATATAGCAATTGTAGGGTCCTGGGAGAGCGATATAGTGAATGCAGGGTCCAGGGAGACCAGATATAGTGAATGCAGGGTCCAGGGATATAGTGAATACGGGGTCCGGGGAGACTGGATATAGTGAATGCGGGGTCCGGGGAGACCGGATATAGTGAATGCGGGGTCCGGGGAGAGCGGATATAGTGAATGCGGGGTCCGGGGAGAGCGGATATAGTGAATACGGGGTCTGGGGAGAGCGGATATAGTGAATGCGGGGTTCGGGGAGACCGGATATAGTGAATGCGGGGTCCGGGGAGACCGGATATAGAGAATGCAGGGTCCAGGATATAGTGAATGCAGGGTCCGGGGAGAGCAGATATAGTGAATGCGGGGTCCGGGGAGAGCGGATATAGTGAATGCGGGGTCCGGGGAGACTGGATATAGTGAATGCGGGGTCCGGGGAGAGCGGATATAGTGAATGCGGGGTCCAGGGATATAGTGAATGCGGGGTCCGGGGAGACTGGATATAGTGAATGCGGGGTCCGGGGAGAGCGGATATAGTGAATGCGGGGTCCGGGGAGAGCGGATATAGGGAATGCGGGTTCCGGGGAGACCGGATATAGTGAATGCGGGGTCCGGGGAGACCGGATATAGTGAATGCAGGGTCCAGGGATATAGTGAATGCAGGGTCCGGGAGAGAGCGGATATAGTGAATGCGGGGTCCGGGAGAGCGGATATAGTGAATGCAGGTTTCGGGGAGAGCGCATATAGTGAATGCGGGGTCCGGGGAGAGCGGATACAGTGAATGCGGGGTCCGGGGAGAGCGGATACAGTGAATGCGGGGTCCGGGGAGAGCGGATACAGTGAATGCGGGGTCCGGGGAGAGCGGATACAGTGAATGCGGGGTCCGGGGAGAGCGGATACAGTGAATGCGGGGTCCGGGGAGAGCGGATACAGTGAATGCGTGGTCCGGGGAGAGCGGATACAGTGAATGCAGGGTCCGGGGAGAGCGGATACAGTGAATGCGGGGTCCGGGGAGAGCGGATACAGTGAATGCGGGGTCCGGGGAGAGCGGGATACAGTGAATGCGGGGTCCGGGGAGAGCGGATACAGTGAATGCGGGGTCCGGGGAGAGCGGATACAGTGAATGCGGGGTCCGGGGAGAGCGGATACAGTGAATGCGGGGTCCGGGGAGAGCGGATACAGTGAATGCGGGGTCCGGGGAGAGCGGATACAGTGAATGCGGGGTCCGGGGAGAGCGGATACAGTGAATGCGGGGTCCGGGGAGAGCGGATACAGTGAATGCGGGGTCCGGGGAGAGCGGATACAGTGAATGCGGGGTCCGGGGAGAGCGATACAGTGAATGCGGGGTCCGGGGAAGCGGATACAGTGAATGCGGGGTCCGGGGAGAGCGGATACAGTGAATGCGGGGTCCGGGGAGAGCGGATACAGTGAATGCGGGGTCCGGGGAGAGCGGATACAGTGAATGCGGGGTTCGGGGAGAGCGGATACAGTGAATGCGGGGTCCGGGGAGAGCGGATACAGTGAATGCGGGGTCCGGGGAGAGCGGATACAGTGAATGCGGGGTCCGGGGAGAGCGGATACAGTGAATGCGGGGTCCGGGGAGAGCGGATACAGTGAATGCGGGGTCCGGGGAGAGCGGATACAGTGAATGCGGGGTCGGGAGAGCGGATACAGTGAATGCGGGGTCCGGGGAGAGCGGATATAGTGAATGCGGGGTCCCGGGGAGAGCGGATATAGTGAATGCGGCCCTGGTCGGGGAGAGCGGATACAGTGACATGCCGGGGTCCGGGGAGAGCGGCCTACAGTGAATGCGGGGTCCGGGGAGAGCGAATACAGTGAATGCGGGTCCGGGGAGAGCGGAATATAGTGAATGCGGTGAATGCGGGAGAGCGATGGGGGAGCGAGTGAACCGGGTCCGGCAGAGCCCTCTGATCAATGCGGTGTCCGGGGCACCGATACAGTGATCACGTGGTAAAGAACGGCCAGTGAATGCGGCCCTGGCGGAACTTGCCACATCACCTGATCAGCTGTGTCCGGGAGAACACAGCGATCACGGAGTGAATGCGGGCCGGGTGCGCGCCCCCTGGGGGTGAATGCGCAGGAGAGCGCGGATACTGGGGGAGGGGTCATATGACGTCCACTCAGAACTGCCGGGTCCGGGGAGTGCAGCCGTCATTCGGCTATCTGCGGTCCGGGGAACAGCGGAAGGTAGTGATTTTTAATGCGGTCTTTCTGGGGAGAGCTTATGGATATGTGAATGCCTCACTCCCAGGCTGACTCATACCCAGGGCTACCGGGCCGGATACCTTTCTAGTGAATGCGGGGTCCTGGAGACAAAAATCACTCCCAGGCCCTGACTGATCGGGGTCCGATCTCCCGCTAACTGACAACTGCCGGTTATCTCGCAGTACTTTCCTCTATATAATAATGCGTGAGGAAAGCAGCATAACCGGCATTGAAAATAGTTCAAGTTGATGGAAAGAGTTGATAGCTCCACACTTTATAGATCCACATACAGTAGTACATGGAAGCGCAGAGACGCACTTTACTCAATACACTGTTAACACCAAGCACCAGGGGCCGTCCCTGCCATCACGATGAAACACTTTATCACTGATTCTTTTTCTGTCTGTACTTGTTTTGTCTGCTGAATTCTAAAAAAATAGTTTTAATGCCACTGGTAAGTGGCAGCAGGAAAGATTGAAATAAAGTTCATTAGTTGATGGAAAGAGTTTAGCTCCACTTTATAGATCCACATACAGTAGTACATGGAAGCTTAGAACGCACTTTACTCAATACACTGTTAACACCAAGCACCAGGGGAAGCCACAGATGAAACTAACTTTATCAGAAGCCGAGTTCCCGCTCAAGAAAAGGTTTCTAGAACATAATCTGCTTTTCACAACTACGTATGGAAAAAGTGTACATGTACAACTGGGTTTTGAATATGGCATAGAAGACCCCTGACAGATTTTTATTATTGTTTACCTGTTGGGGCGATTCACCCCCTCTGTTTGTCCTGGTGACCATTTTTCCATGGAGGTCAGTTCACTGAGTGACAAATGCTGCATTCATTTTTTTAGCTTAATATAACTCATGGTATTTATCTCATAAGTAGTCAATTCACTAAAGAAAATGAATTAACAAATATGGTATATAACTAGGTTTATATAAACCTGTGATCTCCACACAATTCAGGCAAGTGATGAGGTGAACAAATATTTGATCATAATGATAGGACAAAAAACAGTTGCGCACCCTGATGAAGTCATGTGACAACGTGATGCAATGCAACTTCCGGTGACGTGGTGGTGCTTCACCATTTTATTTGTATTGATTTGCACACACCAATTGGGTTGGGTTGGGTGAGAGTGGCTTGGATTTAGGAACATCCATATAAAATGCAGGAGGTTTATTAATATTTACGCATTGACACGTGTCAAGCATTTTTTCGGACAAAATGCTACTGCTCCTGGTCTCACTAGCAGTGGGGTTTTTTCTGCCTCTTAATGCCCCTGCCTTTAAACTCCTCTAGTCACCTATCTGACACAAAAGTTAACATGGAGGAAAGTTTAGAGGCAGAAAAAAAAACTGCTAGTGAGACCAGGTACAGTAGCATTTTGGCAGAAGAAAAAATCTTGATGCGTTTCAATGCATGTATGGTAGACTTGGGATAGGAACTCGTTATCTATAGAAATAGAAATCTTTTTTGGTTACATATTATTACAACTGTATCAGGCTAACACATTTCAGCTGTAACAAATTTCCTCATAGCACAGTTACAAATGGATAAAACTGACAATTGAATAGTGCTTAACTTCCCCTCTAAACAAATCGTGAGGGCGGTGCGAATTATTTAATGACAAACATTGCATGACAAACACCCATCTGAGATACAAAAAAAATCATCATTCTCTATTACTGCAGAACCAATACGACTCAGGCATCCATGTGGTTATATATAAAATGCCCAGCTTACTGATATGAACTGGAATGTTACATCAACAAAGTTTTTTTTGTTTTTTTTTTTTTCTTCCAAAAATACTTTTATTAGAAAAAGTAAGGTATAGCAATGTACATACAAATACGGATCACAGCCCGAACATAGACACAACATGTAGCATCCTGTTTCGCAGACGGTCCATGGGTTTAAACCGCAGTACAAATCAAATGTATATAGCAAGCCAGCAGATACAAAGAGTATAATAGTAGGTATATTGAGTACTGACCTATTTACTTGTGAGCCCTTATGGTAAGAGAATGCGAAGAGTTGGGTAAGGATAGCACAGGATGAAGTGTATGTTATGATTTGTGTGTCCATTTCAGGAACGTGTGAGCCATGTGAAATTAGTCACCTGTAGGAGAGATTAAATTATATATTTGTCCGGGATATATGAATAATGAAGGCGTATAAAAGGTGTGAGATAAAGAGAAGTCAGAAAGGAGTCAGAAAGGAGAATAGTTAGAAAAGGAGATGTAGAGTGAGGTATTGGGGGGGGATATGAGATAATAAATAAAAAATAAATAAAAAAAGGGGGGGGGGGGGGCGGAGAATGGATAAGGAGTAAAGGGGATGTTAGAGTGGGTAGTTGCGGATAAAATAAATCACATCATTTTGTACGAGTCAGAAAGATAGTTGTATAGCTTAGGATGCAATACGTGCAGGATCATTCAATGGGGCAACATGTGGGTCAAGAACCGGAAAGGCAGGTCATGATGCCGAGTCTCAGCCCATCCAAATGTGCATCAAATGCATCTTCGGTGGACAGGGCTTTCCCTAGTACAACATTGTGTCTAATCATTCAGTCAGGGGGTATAGGTTGTTCATGTATTAGTAAGTGATAGGTAGTGGTGGCTTTGAAATAACTCCAACAGGCCCATGTCTTCCTGAACCTCTTGGGATGTTCTTTTGCTACAGAAATCAATTCCTCCATTTCTTCAATTTTGTTGATCCTAGCAAACCATTCTCGAATAGTGGGAACATGTGTTGAGCGCCAGTGGACTGGGATACATTGTTTTGCAGCGTTTACCATGTGCATGGCGAGTGATTTACAGTAGGTCCTAAATGGAAGTGTGGAGTGATGGAGCAAGAATTGTGCGGGGGAGAGGTCTAGGGAGTATGTAGTTACTTGCGTGATTATGGATTGGATTTTCCCCCAGAAAGGCTGTAGCAATGGGCAGTCCCACCAGATATGCAAGAGTGTACCCTTCGCCTGGTGACATCTCCAACACAAATCCGAGATGTTAGGGTCAAGTTTGTGAAGTAGGGACGGAACTCTGTACCATCTAGAATATAGTTTAAAGTTGTTTTCTTGTGTGGAGACACATATGGACCCTTTGTGTATATGTTCGTAAATGTGATCCCAGTCTTCTGGCGATAGTTGGAGTTGTAAGTCAGAGTTCCAGGCCTTGCATGCTTTCCTAGACGGAAGGTCATTGGTGTTTTCGAGGCATGTGTAGAGCTTAGAGATAACATGTCTCTGGGAGAAGTCTGTTGAGCAGTTTTTCAAATGGTGTGAGTGGCCTAGCATAATCTTTTAGATGTGAGGAGCTATGTATAAAGTGGTGGATCTGTCTGTACATCCACGGCGTCTGGGTTATGGAGGGCCATTTGTTCAGAAGGAGGTCTCTGGGTAAGAACATCTCATCTTTGAAAAGTTGATGCAAATTCAAATTGTTTGTGAGGTTAGACCCAGCGAGAAAGCCACAAGACATACCAGGGGGGGGAAGTCTGGGTTAATTTTGATAGGAGTGAGTGGGCCAGGGGTGGGAGAAAAAACCTGTTTTGTGACTTATCTGATGATAACACAATAGAGTGGGGCCTATAAGAAGGTGTTCCCTGAACTCAGACGCAATGTGGGAATTTTTCAGCCAAGGGGAGGTGGAGAGCGGGGTCCCCAAAAATGCAGCTTCCATATTAACCCAAGCCTTATGGTTGCG